CATTAATTAATCTTTCACACTTTAAATTCCTGAGAGTTTAGAATCCTTACAGAAAACATCTGCTTTGGAAATGGCACCATTCTAACAAGCGTGAAAATTGAAATTGCATTTATTACTCTAGGAACTTTCATTTAAAAATATCTAATATTTTCAGGGCAACAAATATTTAATCTCACAAGAAGACACTTAAATCTAAAGGGCTGGTTGAATCATTAGCAGTAACATTAAATATAATCTCGAAAATAAAGGTGCTAAACTCTGTTTTATGGGTACTTATAAAACAATATTTACATCGTATCTACAGGGAGACTGAATTCTTAGATAACATATTTTGATGTGAAGAGAATAAAAAGTAACTTGGCTTTTCAAAGGCCCTGTGCAACTTTAACCCTGTTTAAAGGCATGCTAAAATGCACCAAATCGGCAATATTTAGCATGATATTCAATGAGAAAAAAAGTAAAGGTATAATGTAGGATGGAGGTTCCATTTGGATCATCAAAATAAGTGGTCCTCCTAATTGTCAATCATTCTGGTGATATGTTTACATAAGGCCCTCCCATGTGCTCGTCCCCAGGTAGCTATCTTTCCGGTGGTGAGTCTCACATAGTGGAAAAATTGCAAATCTTGTTTTCGAAAGTAAGCCTGTATGAGGGATGCAAACAGCAACTTTTAGCATGCACAAGTAAAAATGGGCACGCGTTTAATTGACATTCCCAAACGGGAGAGGGTACAGGGTTGTGCATGTCCCTTTTTTTTAAAGGGGAGAGTGGTCTTTTCAAATATTCTCGAAAATCCTCCACTATACCTTTAAATAAAGATGCATTTTGCTTGACTCTAGGAGATATTTTCTTTAGCTGGCCTAATATAAAACATTGTTGCAGTCAAGAAGAGTTTATCTCTATAAGAGATTTGGGAATGGCTGTTCAGTTATTAGGCATGACCCCTTTTCATCCTGAGGAGAAAATTTCGCTTCTCCTCCAGAAGTTCTTGTATCCGTTTGTTCCTGGTTCTTTCTCTGAGACTGACCCGGTGCTTTGGGATCAGATTGTTTTGAGAGATGTCACCGGTCACACTAACAACACTGTTATCAAACACATCGATTGAGTTTCTCTCATTGTTCTCCTCAGCTATTTGCTGATGCTTCGAAGTGGGGATCATTTCATAGGTTACTGTTGTTTGTTCTTCATTTGTGTGAAGGACCAAGGTGGGAACAGGGGTACCAGGAAGGTCTGAAGTTGTCGCTGGAATGGATTCAACTACAGGAATGAGTTCAGACAGGTCCATCCCAGGGGATGGGGCTAGCTCTGTTGTGTCCTCTCCGTTTATAGTTGCGATATCCATGGAGTCACTGTCTTCCTGCCCTCCGAAATTGCTGTAGGACTCTTTAATGGTATTGCCACTTGGAAATGTCACTGTGATCTCGCTATATGGCATAGTCGCTGTGACAGCCTCAGGGCTAACGTCATAAGAGGATTTTAGGAAATCATCAAAAGGGCCAGGTGTCGTTGCGTCTGTGCTAACGAGGTGAATGGATGGAGCATCGTCCGTGAACAGAATGTCCCTATTAATGTCCGTTGGGCTAATCTTTGACTTAGAGGAAGGAAAGTTCAACACTGTCCCTTCTACTATGTGGTTGTGAGAAATAGCGGAGGTAAAAACCTCATCTGGGGTGGGCGGTGTGCCCGGTGAGGTTTCGTGTTTTGGATTGATCTTTATCTCCTTAACTTTACTCTGTTTGACATTTATGTTTGACTTTATGGCATCTTTTGATACTTGTTTTTGGCTGTTTTTAATGTTCGTCTTTGTTTGAGGTTGCTTTGTGACAATTTTCTTTGACTCTGGAGTTTTTTTGGGATTGGTCTTTAAATCAACCTGCTTTTTAGGTAACGGTTTAGTTTTCTTTTCTGGCAAGGTTTTTAATGNTGATTTTTGGGGCTAATGTTTGGTGGATATGTTTTTTTTGCTTTATACTTTGATGAAGTATTTGTTCTTAGCACAGTTTTCGCTAAAGTTGTCTTTTTGACTGAAGGGTTTGTGTTCGGTGGACTAATTTTTCCCCCATTAGTTTTCTTGTGGGGAGGGTTAATGCCTGGAACGTTCTTTATTGGAGAATTATTCAGTGTAGATTCATTTTTGGGACTAATGTTTGGTGGATTTGTTTTTTTTACTTTATACTTTGATGAAGTATTTGTTCTTAGCACAGTTTTCGCTAAAGTTGTCTTTTTGACTGTAGGGTTTGTGTTTGGTGGACTAATTTTTTCTCCATTAGTCTTTGATTGAATAGTTTTCTTTGGAGTATTATTCAGGGGAGTTTTCTTCTTTGCATGAGGGTTTGGTGGTCTGGTGTTATTTGCTAGAGTGGTCTTTTTCATAGGTGGGTTTGGCAGAATTGTTTTTTTGGGATTACTGCTTGGTGGTTTGGTGTTTTTTGCCGTTTTCTTCACTGAAGTTGTCTTTTTTTGAGATATATCCTTTGGAGGGGTCTTCTTTTGAAGATTTTTCTTTGGTGAAACATATTTTTCTGTAGTATTTCTTTGTGTTATTTCCTTTTTTACACTTTCCTTTGAAGGAACCAGAGTTTTTTTGTTTTGTGGTTGAATGTTCTTTTTAGGATTGCTTTTAAGTGTGTTTACTATAACGGTACTACTCTCCATGAGACTTGTTACGGGAGTGGGCTTTGGTGTAAGGAATTCGGCACTTGTTCCTGCTGCTGACGTAGCTGAGGAACTCTGTAGCATCAGATCTGTGATGTCAGCATTGGGATGATTTGTATAAAACGCAGTGTTGATAGTAGGCACAGTGGTGGGGAGGAGAAAAACGCCTGTTTCAGCTGGTGGAGGAGTTGGAATTACTTTTGTTGCAGTTGGTGTAGATGTAGAGGAATGGATGGTTTCAGATGTAGAAGCTGGAAAATTTGGGGTTGCAGAAGTTGAAAAAGTGCTAGAAGAGGTGGAGATGAAAGGCAAACTGGTTGTAGCTGGAAGATGAGAAGGAATTATTTTTGTGGCTCTCAGAGAAGATGTGGGATGAAAGGTTTGGGTTGTGGTGTCCTGGAGGGGTGGGGTAGCAGCAGAAGCAAATTTGGTCTGGAGGAAAGGAGAGCTAGTTGTAGCCAATTGAGTGGTAAGTATTCCTTTAGTGAGTTGAGAGGTGGTTAGGATTAAGCTCAGGAGATTTATAGATGGAGTAGGGGTGACAGTATTACTGGGGGCAGTGCTACTAAGGGTAGATGTAGCAGTGGGGTTAGGTCCAGGTTTGGTGATGTTGATGCTGCTGCACGTCTTGCAGCATAAGCGCCAGTAATCCGGTAGGAAACAGCGGCGCTGAAGAGCCTCCATACGACAGAACAGCGAGCGGTCTCCCTTACATTGCAGGCCTGTGAAGGAGAGACAATGACCTCAGACTAGGAACAAAAAATAGCAATGTGTAATTTGCAATATAGACATATAGAATGTTAAAGGTTGTAATTAATAAAATAAAATTTTTGTGTAACTAGCAAAATCAAGAAGTAAAGCCAGACCATCAACAAAGAATGCATGAAGGTAAAGGAGGAAAATCTTAAGAACAGTCATCATATTAGTGCAGAGCAGCTGAAATAGAAGAAAATAAAAGCCAGTCTTCAGTTGAAAATAATACATTTCTCCTGTCTAAGAATAAGACCTTAATCTTGATCAGCAGTTTAATGTAAAAACTTCACCACACACTACAAAGAAACTAGGGAAGTCCAAATTAACCTCCAAGTAGGGTGACCAGATGTGCCTAAATAACTTGTGCGAGAAAATCACACATTTTCCCCTTCTGTCCCACCATCCCACAAATCAAAGCAATGTTTAACTGCATGAAATTACAAAAAAAAAGTGGATACCAAAAATTCAAAGGCGCTTTTCCTAAATGCAAAGAAAGCAGAGCTGCAGCTATTGTCACACAGTTCCCACGTCATGACCAAGCTGCACACAGTTCTGTTAAATGGGGAACAGGTAAAAGATTTTAACATACAATAGGATGGGAATTAAGTTGAAAGAATGATAAAATCAGCCACAACAAAGACTGTAGAACAGTTCATAACTGGGTGAGGTTAGTCACAGAAGATTCTTACGGATTTTTCCAAAATAATTTTTAGATTTGAGCACAGTGTAAAGCAACAATGTAAAAATGGGTCACAAAAGAAACGCAAAGCATTCATAAGCATTCTAGTTGTCCCACTTTTTGATTTTTCTAGATCTGGTCACCCTACCTCCAAGTAGTGGTTTCAGATCTGGGCATGTCTTTGTCTTCCATGCCAACAGCAAGATGCATAGACAACTTTTATATGGTCCGTTCTTTTATTAATCACGCTAATTTAATGCATACAACTTGCAAAGAAGTGTTATAGTTCCTTGACATTATTTTGTTGATTATTGTCAACCTTGTTGACTCTTCTATATGGGAGCTATTAAGCTGTGGCTTCGGCTTCTAGAGAAATGCACACAAAAATTCTGAAATTCTGTGGATATTTCAGATAAACTGGAATATATCAAATTGTCAATTATCAATATCAAAACAGATCGAAAAGGCCAGCATTAGGTTTGCAAAAACCAAATTATGTAACTGAGGACTGTATCTATAAGTCTTAATTCATACAGTGGATGTTTTTGAAATCTTATCACCAAGTGTGTTTCATGTGAAGATTTATCAACACATTATTGGGATTTTCTTAGTCAAGTTAACCATGATGTCTGCTTACTATAAAAACAAAAATAGTTGATAAGGAGATCCTGAAGCGTCCAGACTTTCACAATGAAGTTAATTAGAATCCTGATCAAACCATGTGATGCTGTGCTTCATTTACACAAATTACATATTTAATTGGTATTGTTTAAATGGCTGACATATGTTTCCTAATCGGGTCTAACTATATTGTTTAAAAGCATCAACTGATTTTTTTTCTGTCAGAAAATTCCTACAGAGTGAAAAGTCACACTTTTTAAAACATTTTTATTGATACAACTTTGCTGTTGATAATGACAGGAACTGAAACAATGAGATGTATGCCTCCACCTCCAGCTCATTATATAGATATATAGTTTTTTTTTTTTTTTACTTAAGAAAAATAATTCAACTGTATCGAAAGTTACAAGTTCACAGTCACTTTGGTAAAACACTTGATTACTTGAAAATCAACAAGTCAATCTGTTAATTGACTGAGAAAGAAAACATGAAGTACATAAATTATATTTGCTTTTTAAAGAAAATACATAATTTTCATGATGATGTAAAAACTGGAATGGCACATTAAGTGTCATATGAAACATTTACAAAACATTAATAAAATTTCCCTGATAAATCAAAGTGCATATAGACGCAGTGCACGTAGTCCATCTGAATGTTTCTTCGAACATTAGCCAGCCCAACGCAGCAGGCCAGTGAAGCCACAAAACAGTTACCCATAGTATAGAATATTATAGAAGAAGATAACAGTCATGAACATTATTAAATACAGTCAACACCAATTTTATATACAGTATCGCACTGCTAGGTCTGGCTTGGTCTCTTACAGTCCAACTCCAGCAGAAGGAAACCTTGGATAGCTCGCTACATAGTCACAACAGAAATATGTGATCACAATACAATGACAAGTCTGAAGTGTTCTTTTCTTTTTTTTTTGTTTTCCAAGATGCCATATGTGTCAGTACCCTAGGCCCTTTGAAAATCCTTTCCGGTAGTCGGACACTGGTCCGACATCAGCCTCGTAGGTTATGATGGTTGGCGGGTGTGAGTTTTTTTTAAAAGTTGGTTTGAAGCTGCCTCTATTCCGAGTGAAACTTTGAATGAGTAAAGCCATCTCTTTCACAGATAAATGCCATTACATTCAATCCAAGATAAGGCATTGTTCATGTGGTTAATGTTCGTCAAAAAAAACAAAAACCAAAAAAAAAAAGTGAGACCACCCGACTCTCTCAAAATCAAAGTTTATGAGGTATTTCTGTATCTGATCGCAGTGTGTTAAAAGCCCAGATGATTTAGCACCCACGCGCACACACTCACACATGACGGGATGCACATCCACCCTATGCACATGCACTCGTGGATGCGCACAGTGACAGATGCACGCTCGCACAAGCACGTGTCCAAACATCCAGGTGATAGATGCAAATGTGCATGACAAAAGGTGATCCTATCCTGAAAGAAAAACAAGAAGCAACAGTAACACCACTGATCCATCTGAGCGAATGGAGAGGCAACTAACTGACCAAGTCCTGCATAATATGGGTCGAACCCGTTCTCCCACAAAACACTTTGCCTTTTATTAAATATTTATCTGTATTCATGTAAAATTATTTAAAAAAATACACATAACAGTCAAGGATCTAAGCGATCAATAGCAGTCCAAAGGTTTTAGGCAAATAAGCTACAGCTTATTCATGGTAAAATGTTATTAATATTATTGGTACTTATATAGATTTAGATTTATAGATATATATAAATACAAATATATTTATAGATGTATTTGTTTAAAGTCTGCAAGCACAAATAAGCTGCATTTATTGAACTTTTGTATAACAGTCAAAGAGAGGATGGCTGATGATGAGGTGGAATGGGAAGCAACCTCAAGTGGTCAAACTACCCTGTTTTTTTTTTTTTTATTATTCTTTTTTTTCTTATCATCCTTCACAGTTTTTCACCACCCAGTTCAACTTTGCAAAAATAAAATCACTCCCAAAAAGAGGATCCCATTACTTCATGTCCCTGTGCTGAGTTCCTGTTAATCTGAAATGGGAGCTCCATTTTCATCCCCACCTGGAACTGAGATGTCAAGATGAGCACTTAAGCAAATATGTCCTCAGATCACATTCACAATAAAGCTTTCATTTTTTTAAGATATAAATATTTTTTATATAGATATATTTATATACCATTTCTGATTATTTTCACATCTCTTTTCTCCCACACGAACTGTGCGCTACAAAAAGAAAAAAAAAAAAGAATAAATCAAGAACAGAAAAGCCCTGCTGCGTCACAGGTGTGGTAACCCATAACAACACGCAGCGAGCTCGCGCAAATCACGGCCACCGAATGCAGAGAAGGGGTTCCCTTACACATGAACGGCCCTTTGTCACATCACAGGAGGTGTCAGTGAAAACCCGTTTGCCACTTCGAATCCTTTTCACACCAAAATTTTTTTTGTTGATCTTTTAAGTTTTCGACTGGCCAGGGGTTACAACACAATGCTCCACAGTGGAGAGATAGATAAAGAGAGACAGAGCAAGAGAGAACCAACTAGCACACACAGGAGCCAGAGACCTCCCCCGGTCAGAGCCGCCTCAGACACAGAGAGAGAGAGAGAGACAACATCCCCCCCCAGAAGAGAAGCGAAAGGTTTGCCACTCGCTCACACGGGCGTGGGCACAGGCACAAGGCGCAGCAGGAAGGGCAGGTCAGGGGGCCAGCCGGGGCCGGCCCTGCAAAGACAGGAGGACAGAGATGGGCAGGGCCCAGCAGAGGACAGACATGCTGTCGATGTGAAGGCTGGGCTGGGAGCTATAGAGGGGGGTTTTACGTGATGAGATCCGGGGGTAGTTTGGGTTGGGCCGGGAAAGCCACTGGATCAGAATGTTGCCATTCTTGTTAAGGTCTGATGAGCCCTCTGCAAACAAGACACAGGAATGGTAAGATTATGGTTAGTCAAATACAGGTCAGGTTTTTTGTTTTTACACAGCTGTTACAACTTTTACTAAATATGTCCACACTGGTTATTTATACTTACAGAAATAAAATATATATTTTAGTAAACTGTCATATTCTAAATTTGCCTGCGCCCTTTCATGTAAATGTATATATCCACCTTAGTCCTGGCAGTAACTGCTGGAAGTTTGGTTAGGTTAGCAACCTCCAGTATGATAACAAAAACTGCATCAAAGCGGTTTGTTTTGTTTATTCTTCATATTTAAATCTGCTCATCAATGTATTTAAATAGCAGAGATGTAGGCATTGCTCCTTTTAGGAGTTCTACAGATCATTTCAAGCATAACGTCTGCAGAGACCTAACAATATTTATCAAAAAAGTCACAAAGACCCTTTATGTACTCAGCTGATACTGATTGTAACTGATGCATTGATCTATATCTAGTCAAAGCCAAAGCAACCAGATTATGTGAAGAAATAAAATAGGTTATTTTTTCTCCAGCACTGATCGGCCTTTATAATGATGTTCATTCAATTTCTGTCATGGTGATGTGTATTAGGTTGGTAAATAGTTTAAAAGTAACCCTTTTTAGTTAGATGTTATAAATACCAGAGAGTTTCCACTTAAATAGTATCTAATTGTTATTTTGTAAACTCCAACTGGAAGATTCTTCATGCAGGGGAGTTTATTTAACACCTACTGCGACATGGTTCCAGGCGACAAACTCTTATGGTATCAGGTTTGCTGTCTAGACAGAGTCCAATGGTGTTGTCTCTGGTGTGGCACAGTGCCTGCCTCTGCTGCGTCCCATTTCCACATGTCACTGAACACTGGAAGTGCATAATAACATGTGAAATGCAGTTGCCATCACAATGTATTACAGATAAATCAAATTAGGGGAAAACATCAAATATCTTTTAATGATCCATACTTGTGACCAGGGACCAACTCTCCACTGCGTAGGGCAGGGATGTCTGTTGCAGGACCTGCGGGACTCTGGACGGTCATCGCTGCAGTGCTTATTGTGAATGAGGCGTGTTGTGTTGTCCTCCGAAGGCTGAACACAGGTGACGGAGCGTACTTGCATCCCAGTCTTACCACAGGATTTGCTGCAGTTCTGCCACTCTCCTGTCACCCAGCTGCAAGTAAGGAACACAATCAGGAGAAACAAAGAAGGCAAAACTAAGAAAATGCAAAATAATTTCATTTGAAAGTGACAGTAGCCTAAAACCGATCCGATCTAGTATAATATTGGGACCAGCTGCATTATACTCTGCTGTCTGTCCCATACTCAATGGCCCTATTAAGTCTGTCTGATGAAAGAGTGAATGCTCACACTCATGCATGGGTTTATGTACATCCAATGTAGGACATTGCTCTTATCAATCATTAAAGTCATCTTACTCTGCTAACATGCACACATCCCTTTATGCATGCTTGAATGATACAGCATGTGAGAATCAATAATTATCAGGGTTGTCAAAAGTATCAATACTCAAAAAAGTATTGATACTGAAACGTTGTATCCGGATACAATACTCATTTTTAAAAGTATCGATACAGCCATCTAAAGTGAAAAATAGAGGAAAATGCACTTTCTGAACACTGGGTAATTGAATAATTCTGTGCATTTTTCGTGACAACCCTAATAATTATTCAAAGAACATTTGCTAACATTGTGTCTGTTAATAAAATAAAGTTTTGCATTTACTGAGGTACACAAATCTCATACCCATTTGATAGAAAGCTGTATTCCTGAGACCTCTGACGGAACATTTGTATTTTGTGTTAAGGAAAGAAGTAGGGTATGAACGTATAAGATTTTAACCTAACTTATTTCAATATAGGCAGTCTATGATTACAGTATTTGTCAATAAATGACATTCTTTTTTTTATGTAGTTTAATGTGTTTCGTTTTTTTTTTTTTCTTGTTTCAGTTATTTCTAAAATGTTATATTGGAGGAGTTTTATACACAGATGCCTCTACAAACAACTCTACTTGTTTGTAGAGGCCCCTGTTGTGGCCAATCTTGGCTGTTTCCGAGGCTTTTACTTATTTTATATTGGCCATATTTAGAAATGTGCTTGACATAGGCTGGCACTGGTCATAATACTCTGCCTGATTTGACTATATTTACCATCTAGAACAAGATGAAGCTGATGAATACATACATGGGTGGAGGACAGGGCTTCTGGTTGCAGTTCCTAATATCTCCTCTGGGCTTCATGTTGGACTTGTTACAGAAGCTTTTATGAACCATCTTGCTGTCAACTTTTCTTCTGCAGCCATATCGCAAATACTGCTTCCCTAAAGAGAAGTTTATACCAGACAATTTTAGCAATTTATGATGGAGAGGAAAATGTGAATTACATAGTGTGTTTTTTTTTCTCGGCTATGTACCATACCTCCACCACAAGCTTTGGAGCAATAGGACCACTTTTTCGGAGCCCATTCGTAGGCACTGTCTTCTACCAGCATGTTGTCATAAATAGTCGAATCACCATCCATATTCATCGTGTATTTATAGGACAAAATGACATCCTCATCTCCATGCAATTTCATCTAGGAGAGAGATCAAGAAAAACTAGTTTACTTTAGGATTTGCCATCATAAAACCCAACATTTATTTGACTGCTGTTGTTTGTACCATTATTAGAACCCCATGTCTGAGAGGCCCTGTGCTCTGAAGGGTTTCCTTGTCGTTATCAATCCCATACTCCCATTTCACACCCTTCTCTATAACAGAGCGGGACTCTGGGTATTCATTTTCCCCATTTAGGAAAAACAGTCCTGATGCCACATTTTTAACAGCTGTAGAATAATAAGAAAAAACAGGTATTTATATAAAAAGGGGGGACAAATACTATTGTTCAAAACATAAAAGCATTGTGCTACATACCAATAGTGTGTGAGGTGGCATTCAGCTCCTGAATCAGTAAATGCCTTGCTCCTCTGGGGATTTCAAGAACTTTAAGGAACCCTGGAAATGACACACTCAAATAGATTTTTTTTGGATTTAAGATCATCAATCAACAAAGAGCTCAGTTAGCAGTTTCCTAACAGAACACCTATGCAGAAAAGAAGTCTAACTGGAAAAGTTTTTAATAGTTTGAGCTTGAAAAAAACAGATTCTTCCAGGAATTCTGCTCTCATGAGGTAAATCCGCCCCGGCTTCAAGAGTTAGATAATAGACTCAACATTAGCTCATGAACTTTGATGTAAGCTCTTGGCATGGTTCAAATGGAAACATATGGTCACATTTCCCTGAGGTTTAGGGTCATTTTCAAGCATTTTCCTCTAGAGGGCGATGTTTATTCAAGCATAGACAGGAGGAAGGCCTACAGCCAGGCTGTTTTTCATTTTACATGTAGCCAACCCAGCTTCGTCTGTTTACCTTGCTTTTTAGCAGTCCGCATGATTATGTCTTTGAAGGTTTCGCAGCTGGAGTTGTCACCTCCACACACTCCACACTTGTCCTCCTGCTTCGAGGAGCCCACCACGCCATCACAGCCCACCTTCTGTTAGTGAAAATCAAAGAAGCTGATCAGAAAAAGTGTAGCAGTTTAAATCTGATGCACACAGAAACACATACGAAGTAACTAACCTCACACTCTCCACGCACACACACATTGTGAGGGTCTTTGTACGAGCAGCGTGTGCCATCCAGGACCAGTTTCTCCATGAGGACCACATCTCTGGTTTCCTTTGATTGGCAATACAGGTGGCAGCGTTTTTTAGCTAAGAAGCAAGCAAAATTTCACATTAAACAGTACAATTACTTCAATAAGATGTTCCAGTTTATCCTGCGTATGTAGCCTAAACCAATAAATGTTCACCCTGTTCGCAATTTAAATTAACTAAACCATAATTCTTCTTTTTTTGACAGGAAAGGATGCAGGTACGAAGATATGCTTAAGATCTAAATGAAAAAAGAATGCTTCAATTGACTTATATTTCATTTGAAAATTAACAAATAAATTGTGAAAAATTTAAGTCGTACAGCATTTGAAATTGACCGTGCTGTTCTGAAGCCCCTTAACAACTCTTATTAAATGGGAAAAGCAGTTTTTAACACCTTAAGTGAAAAAAGCAACTGTATTTGATTCATGGTAAATGATGGCTGAATAAGAAGGGCTTAGTGAAGACCCATGGCTTAACATTGTCCCTGCTTAAAAGATAAAGAAGGGCAAAGAAAGCTATATTTAAATATTTTTTAGTGGCCCCAGTAAGAAGTATTGTAAAAAAAAAAAAAAAACATTAATAGAAATCAAACACTGTGGAAAAGCTTGAAGAGTATGGTGGAAGGAAAGAAGAAAGAATGTGTTTGATGCATGTGGAAACATCTAAAAGCATATAGTCTAATGGAACCCCAGACAACATGGATGCGGACCAAGGAGCACAGTGCTTCTCAGACGGAGCGACACAAAAGACTTAGATTAAGACAACTTTTAATGTCAATTTGTATACACTGTGTGTACAAGACCAACTTTTGTTTAGTAGAGCTTTTCAGACCGTAAATGAAAATTTTCATTCCATAAAATGCAGCAGTGATTAAATGTAAACATGGTGCAAAAAAACGCATTGATATGGAAGTTCAGAGCATTAATATATATGGTGCAGATATGCCGTATTTTTGGTTTGGTGTTCTCAGTGTGATACAGAGCCTGTGACACGATTTGGAGTTTTTTTTTCCAATAGTTTAGCAGTCTGATGGTGTTGGGGAAGAAGCTGTTTCAGAATCTCCTGGACCTGCATTGAATGCTGCGGAGTCTCTTCCCAGAGGGCAGCAGGGAGAACAGTCCATGGTGGGGGTGTGAGGGGTCTCTGATGATGTTACGAGCTCGGGACACACAGTTGTGGTATGAAATGTCTTTTCATGGAGGGGAAAGGAGCCCCGATGATCCTCTCTGCTGTTCTCACCACTCTTCTTGGTTTCTTCCAGTCTGCAGCACTGCAGCCTCCACACCACACAGTGAGACAGCTGGTCAGAACGCTCTCTATGGTGCTTCTGTAGAAGGTCATGATGAAGGGTGGGGGCAGGTAGGCTCTCCTAATCCCGTGCAGGAAGTACATGTGCTTTTTTTGTACCCTTTTGAATAGTGATGTGGTGTTTAAGGTCCAGGTGAGGTTGTCTGTGATGGGCATCCCCAGGAATTTGATGCTGATGACCACCTTTACAGCTGAGCTGTTGATAAGCAGTGGGCGTGGTTAGGATGATTCTCCCTGAAGCCAAGAATGATCTCCTTCGTCTTCTCCACATTCAGGATCAGGCTGATATCTTTGCACCATTCCACCAGCTGCTCTACCTCCTCTCTGTATTCCAGGTCGTTGTCGTCTCTGATGAGGCCCACCCCCGTGGTGTTGTCTGCAAACTTCATGATGTGATTGGTGGTGAACCTGGGGACGCAGTCGTGTGTCATCAGAGTGAACAGCTGGGGCTGAGGACGCAGCACTGAGGGGAGTGTGTGCTTAGGATGATGATATCAGAGGATTTCTGTCCAACCCAGACTGACTGAAGTCCTCTTAGGTCACATCTTTGCAAAGCAGAATGTCATGGTTTTCTATTTTTTGATGAGATGAAATTAAAATCTGCCAATAAACCTCCCAAAGATACAATTTCCCAAATCAAACACAGTGGTGAGAACTTAATGATTATAGGATTTGATCAGGTAATTGGCGAAAAAACCTGCAAATCAAATTAATGGGATGATAAAGGGAAGATTATCAACAATAAAATCAGGCAGTCTGCAGAGGAATTGGGTAAATTACGAGGCCACAGTACATCATAAGCCAAAACACAAATTTAACGTAGTGAATAAAATAGAGTGTCGCATCCAGAATCCTGATTTAAATTTCATAAAGAATCTGTAGAGAAAGTTTAAGAGGAATGGCAACGATAATAATGCCTTCCAACCTCAAAACCTGGAGCTCATCACCGTAATGAAAGATACCAGTGAGGACATCTGAGAAGCTTTTTAGTATCAAGGATAACTGTTTGGTACCTGTAACAGCCAATAAATGCTATTCCACTCATAAGGTAGGTAGGAATCGTTTGGGCATTATTATTTAAATTTACAGTCTGGGCAAATCATTTTCTTTCCTAAAATAATACTTTTTCCTCATCTTAGTATCTTCTGGATAATACCTGTCAAATGTCTAGTCAGAAAATGGATAAACATACCTTTAAATCTAAATATCTAAAGAACCTAAATAATTTGGTGCTCATCTGTTTTGAAATAATTCTAATAATCTGAATGAGATCTTAGTGAGTCATCGTTGTAGTGATTCTGATTGTGTCTCTGAGTCACACTACAACTACATGATCCCACAGAGACTAAACCTGGCAGACTATACTAGTGAGAATAAACACTTTTACTTGATCACATGCATGGACACCACCCAGAGATCTTGTCAGTCAGAGGTTTGACTCTCATAAACAGATGGCAGACATGCAACTGATCTACTGCAACCTGCAGTACAGGGAAATCATTTCAAATATCTGTTTAAATATATTTTATTGCAAATAGCAATTTGTGACATCACACAGAAAAGATTATTATGTTATGAGAATTTTCTAGTTTAATTTTGTTCAGAGGTAAAATTATTCCTCATGTTCAAAAATGATTCATTTACAATATACAGGAAGTAAGACACAGAGAGGTAAAACTGATTTTTCTTGAGGATTTAGGTCTGTAGCGTACGGTAAACCATTTTTCCGATATTTTGGGTATCTTTTATGTTGTTATATCACAACTAGGCGCCAGTTTTAAAGTATACCTGGGTTTCAAAAGTCACATTTTAAAAAAACGGCAAAAGTTTCAGCAAAACCGTTCCTGCGGTTTAAACCTGCTTTCAAATAAATCGCATCAGGGAAATGCTAAAGTTGTTAGCAGCTGCAAAATCACCGGTCACGACCACTTCCTCCATGCACCACTGTAGCTGCTGCTGTAGCTCTACAGGTTCAGGTTGTATGATGGGGGAAGTACGGCAGCTCAATAACTCCTCCCCTGTCTGTGTCTCTTCCAGGCAGGGTCTGCTATATGGGAATACTTTGGCTGAAAGTTGGCAGAAGAAGGAAAACGGTGACTTGGAGAATGAAGCTTGCCCTACCAGTGTGTGGACAGTGGGAACAACAGGAGGCACCAGAGCTAATATGATAGCGCAGATAAAGCTTCAACAAGCACGTATTTCAAAAGGTAAATCATCTTGAAATGAACAAGCAACCTTTGGCATCAGGCACTAGTGAAACAAATACCAGTGCTTTATTCTCCTTTGGGCTTGTGTATTTGATTCGTTTTAAGAAAAAGGCAAAAAACAAACAAAAAAAAATCTCTCTGTAGCTGTAGGTGTGCACTGTTTGTACACTTGCTCATACTTGCATTTTCTCATGATTCTTTATAGGTAGTATGATTTATATCTGCTTGAAATCAGATATGCACAGAAATTTCGGCACATCAGTGAGTCTACTCTGGGTCCTCTCCGGATGACTGAGCTCCTCACCCTATCTCTAAGGGAAAGCCCAGACACACCACGAAGAAAACTAATTTCAGCTGCTTGTATTTGGGACCTCGTTCTTTCGGTCATGACCCAAAGCTCATGACCAGAGATGAGTGTAGGAATGTAGATCGACTGGTAAATTGAGAGCTTTGCCTTTTGGCTCAGCTCTCTCTTTACCACACCGGACCGGTAAAGTGACTGCTTCAGAGCAGACGGCGCACCAATCCACCTATTGATCTCTTTCTCCATCTTTCCCAACTTGATTAACAAGATCCCAAGATACTTAAACTCCTCCACCAGGGGCAGTACATCCTCCCTAATCCGGAGAAGGCACCCTACAATAAAAATAATGAGGAAAGCACAACTGAGTTATGTTCCAACCTACAGTATCATCATTTATCATTAGTTGATGATTTTGTTAAGACTCTAGAAGTTAATTGTTAAAGCTTCCTTATATCTTTAATTGCACCTGATTTCCTATTTCTTTTTATTTTACATACTTACCATCCAATTCATTACCACATCAAGTTCCTCTCAGTTATCAAATCACCCACACAGCATATTTTCTTTACTGGTATAACTGTATTCACCAAGTCCTTGTTATTTACTAGTGAATAATTTGGGAAAACCTTAAGTTTGCAAAAAGGGAGTCCTGCACCCTGCATGTCTAGTGCACATTCTCAGTTTTCTAGCTGAGGCCACTAGATTCCTTCCAAAAAGCGTTGATATTTCAAAGTCTCCATCATGTCTTTCACTCAAACAGGCTTCCCATGAAAAGACCTATAGCACCACACATCCTCCTTAATACTTAACATTGGGCATAAGATGCATCTCGACATACTTAACAGTGGGCATAAGGTGCATTTCCACATATTTATTGCATTACCAATAAGGTGCTTTCTAATAAAGCATCGTCCACAGCGTTGACATGTGATCGAACCAGTGCTGTTCACATGCATTCAGTGCAGTCAAAAGGAGACACTGCAGAGGCTGATTCTGTATTTATAGCACCAACATGATACACTATTCATAAATCAGCACGCTCTTTCTCAGTCAGTCAGTTCCTCTCCCAGTAACATTAACACATACTCATTATCATGACATCAAATTTTAGAGCATCAGTAAATAGCATCCTCCGGTTTTCAAGACATGCTATAAGGTTCTTTGGGGGGTGTGGGGAGGGAACAAAAGTGTTAATGAAAGTGTTATGCAAACATTGCAGTAAAGGGGAGGCATGTGATCTCCTCTGTATGAGAACATAGAAAGCTGGAGACAGCAAAAAACAAAGGTTAGCTGAATTCCCAACTAGCTGGCTGCTTAATACCTCGTGTTTCTACTCCCAGAGGTACGACACAGTACAGCTGTTTATACAAGAAAAAAATTGCCAAAAGAAAGAACAACAATAATTTGCAGACACATATTGTACTTAGACATCTGCAGCTGTCCTTCTCACTCTTATCAGGGAGGCCAAAAGATGATGGATCATGGATGGAATTTAGTTTAAGCTTCTTTACTAGAATTTTTCTCTCACAAACATGTACTGATCTGCATGTTCTTACAAGGAGTAAGAATTCAAAATATTTTTCATTTGAGAAATATAATATGGCATTTAGGAAGAATAAGACTGAAGAGAAACAATTTATTGAGCTAATTTATAAAGTAAGTGATTGTGGTGCTTATTGTATAGCTGTATTTTGAGTAGATGATAATTTCACATGTATTAAGATGGAATTGACAAAACAGCATAAAGATAAGCAGGGTCTTAATTTAATTAGAAAACGTTTCTGTATATTAGATGATGTATTTTAGAGTTTTCCCAGATGGCAAATTGTACATGATGAATAATACTTGAAGGATCAGGAAGATTTAAATAGCATTGGCTAATGGGTGAAAGACGCCAATAACTTAATGTGCTAAATTACTGTAAAAGATGCAACATATTTTGAGAGGTGTTGGCATATCTTAAGGCTGGACTCCCATTAACTTGTAGTACCTAAACAATACCGGTCAGGTTCTGTTAAATTAATTACAAATGTCTACTCACGATCTGGGTGTTCATAAGGCAGCCAGTGGTGCTTGTTGCTGTACTCCGAGGCCTGACACTGCTCCTCCCTCGGATCACTGTAGATGTCCTCACACTCATTGGTGTTACACATCTGGAACTGGTAAGGGGTCCCTCTACAGGTACGGCCACCATTGGCTGGACTGGGAAGAACAGCAGCGACAAAAATTGTTTTTTTCTTTCTTTTTTTTGTTTACATTTTTTTTATATTATACTTTAACCCCAAATAATCTATTTATTCACACCCCGTAATGATGGATTGATTGACTAGGCACCTTTTCGCTGTGGGTTTATGCTAATAAAAACTTACTTTATTTTTGCACATCTTTACCAGGTTGGCTAAAAGTTGTGTTGGTCGCTGCAGACACCAAACTGTACAAAAGCGTGTTATACCTGGGATTGTTACAGTTTCTGGTGCGAAATTGCACTCCTCCTCCACAGGTGCGTGAGCACTGGCCAAACTCGCTCCACGAGCCCCAGTTTCCGTCTTGCTTCATGATGTCAGGAGTCAACCAGATGCAGTGACCTTTAAAGCAGTGCTGCAGCAGAACATCAAAGTGTCCTTAAATCAGTAGAACATAGGGTGGAAGAAAGCAGTTTCTGTTAATGTCCATTTTCTTTAAAACGTGTGGTTACCTTTCCATTCCCACACATGGTGCCATCAATGGGGGGCCCTTTCTTGGTCTTGCAGAAGAACGGATTGTCTGGATGACTGCACCACAGCTGCTGGCAGGGGTCGTATGTACGGTACTGTTTGGGAGCACAGAAACTTCTAACAGTCAAAGACATCATGTTACAATTAAAAATGGACTAAAAGGTCAATCAACATGGAAGATTATGGAAAGATTAACACTTAAAACAGGTTGAGATGGGGGTAGAAATACCACAACAGTAGCAAAGACAGTACCATATGAAACAAAATCAACAATTAATCTGCAAAGTGTGAATGGAGTTTACACTTGGACTTACTGAGAAACACACAGCAGTTCATGCAACTGTATTAAGATACAGAGCCCTGCAAAAGTGATCCTTCTTCTGGTTTTACATATACTCACTTTAACACATTTTCACAGGATTTTAGGTGGTAGACAAACACAAAGTAGCACTTGATTGTAAAGTGGAAGGAAAATGACACTAAGCTTTTTTTTAAACAAATAACCCAAAATATATTTATATTAAGCTTTTTTTTTTTGAAACAACTAAATGAAACCCAATGCAACTAAATTCCTTTAGAATTCACCCAATTGTTTACCAGAGCCCAAATTCTTGACATTTAATCCTTATAAATGCAGCTGTTCTCTTAAACCCTCAGAGGTTTCTAAGAGAACACTAACAAAACAGCATCATAGAGACTGAGGGACACAGCAGCCAAGTCAGATATGAAAATGTGATCAAGGATAAAGCAGATTTAGGTGACAGAAAAACACGCTGTCGACATGTCACCAAGCAATATTCAATCCATTATCTACAGACTAAACAGTACAAGCATTTAATCTAAACTGAGAATTAAAGAAAGCAAGAATCACAGCAGTAAAGATCAACAGGTCAGGTTTGAGGTGACAAAAATACTGAGAGGGGAGCTAATAAACATGAACTCAACAGCCATTAATTAAAAATGATTCATTAAAAAGCACAGCAACATTAAGATTGTTGCATTCATTATGCAAACACTGTCTGGAGAAAAACTCTAGACAGTGGCTGCATCATGCTTTGGGCATGCTTTAAATCAGCAGAGACGGGAACCCTTATCGGAGTTGATGAAAAGGTGGATAAAGCTTAATACAGATCAATCCTAGAAGAAAACCTAATATAAGCTTTAAAGCGAGACTGGACTGTAGGTTTGTATCCTAATACAACTACAACAGTATAGTCTAAACAGGTATATAAATGAGTCAGAATCCAAATGGGAATCTGGCACAACTTGAGATCTTCACAAAAGCATACTATCCAATAGGGCTGAAACAATTAATCGGTTTAATCGTGATAAATCGATTATTGAAATAATCGCCAACTAATTTAGTAATTGATTAATCGTAAACTGGAGTGAAGAGAGTCTAAAGCATGCCTTTAGTAGACAGAGCAACTCACCACGAGCAACAATTGTACCAAAACTGTAAAAAAAATAAAAATTTTTGCATCTGATAAAAAAAACAAAATATTTTAGTCTGTCAAGAAGTTCTAGCCAGCACTCCTCAAGTGGAAAAGTTTTAGTTTCACGGGTTTAATTTCGTAAAAATGTCTTCTTTGGGGAACCTTTTGCTATTTGCTTATGAATCGATTAATAGAAAAAAATAATCAACAGATTAATCAATTTGAAAAATAGTTGTTAGTTGCAGTCCTACCATCTAACATGTTTGAGTTTGAGATATATTACATTAAAGAGAATGATAGATCTCTTGGTCTCTGGATGTTCAAAACAAGGAGAATAATGCTCCAAAATGTGCAGCTGTAAGCAGAAAACAATCTGTTTTTTTTATCTATACCTATCCTAATAGTTGTTTTCTAAAAAAAACTCCAAACGTGTATCATTTTCCTTCTGCTTTACACGTTCTTCTTTGTGTGGACCTGTCACATGAAACACACTGCTCTATGTTTTTGTAAAAAAAATCAGTGTAATATGAACTTTTGCAAAGCACTGTAAAGGAGATCAGAGGGCAGAGTGCTTAAAGCCAAAAAAGTGAGATTTCTGGGACTAATAAAATTTCTGCTAGCGTGGATGGAGAAGCAAACTCCCCTCCTGTATGGAAATGAACCAAAGATGCCATCAAACAGACCAGCCTGCCCTCCTCTCTCCTCTCCACAGAACCTCCCACCTACTATGGCACAGTGGGACTTCTACAGGACAGTAGTAGACTTGTAAACATCAGATTAAACCACAGTATGTAATTATCAGCTATGGATAGACTGAAGGATCCTAAAACACAGAAAAAAAGGCCCCTGTTATGGCTGAGCCCTTTTCCCAATGATGGGAAAGACATCTCCACAACCCTTTCCACTTGTTTACAGTCAAAAGATTGCCAATATAATGAGTCTCTTCCTGCCAGAGCTGTGGTGACTTACCACTAGTCTGCAGAGAAGGACTCTGGGTACAGAGCCGCAACTGCCAGGCAAATGAAACGCAAGTCACATGTTGTTTTGAATGAATTGTACTTGCTTTCCCTCAAAGCACAAGCATTTTAGAATCCTGCAGACCAAATCCTAACAAAACCGAGGCACAACGTACTATTAAACAGAAATGGAGGGGCAACATTACAAACACATGACTTGTGGAACAAAAAAAAAAGTGAAAACCTGACAAATTAACACGTCCACACATCCTCCTGGAGATGGATTGGCCTTACCTGCGATCCTGACCGGCCCGCCTTTTGTAGCTGAGGGAAATGAGTTTGACAAGAGAATAGAGGGTAATCTAGCAACGTGTGCAAAGCCCCTGAGCAAGCCCTTAGTCAAGAAACAGCTTTGCCACAGTGGCTTCACAGTCACAGAAAAGATGGTGCTGACTGCAGGGAAGTAAAGGTGCCAGAAAAGATGATGCTGCTTGAAACTTCTCTAGTTATGTTTTTGTCTTTAAAAACCTTTCATGTAAAGGCACTGTGGTATCAAGGCAACCGAGAGGCTTTAATAAGGCATTTCTTTTACTTTGACTAATGCCATGTGAAGGTAATAGCTAACAAAACCAATTACCTGCTTTTAAGCAAGATGTCAATCCCACCAGAGGCCGGGAGAGGAAACAGAGGACATCAGAACAACGTAAATGGCTACGTATGTGTGACTTATTTCAGTCAAATGTAATACACTGCTACAAAACACTCGACTCAGATCAGAAGCTCAACTTTTAGAACTTAAAAAAGCCCACGCTATTTCATCATCCACTTTCAAACTGTCTGTTCAGACAAAGCATTTCACTGTTACTTGTCCTGATAAGCTAAAATAACACTATGCTTTAACTGATGGCATTTACTAAGGAAGGTGCCCTCAGCATGATGATGAAGGGTGTAAGCGCTGGTGAACTACAGGGGTCTCTTACCGCGGTGCACATGGTGTAGCCCACACCAAAGTCAAAGCGGCACTGTTCATTCATGGAGTAGTGCAAACCAGGAAGTTGAGGAAGCGATGGCCAGTTGTGGTCAAATGGGTCGTCCCGGAGACAGTCATAGGAACTGTAGGTAAATAAATACAGTTGTTCTGAGTTTAAAATTTTTTTTTTCTCTAACATTTTTAGCATGTTAACATAAATCTCATATTTTGCAAAAACAGAGATTTTCTTTCCCGATTTTGGTGACTTCTCATTGGGAGAAGATAGTTTGCAGAAATTGTCATGATTATCTTGCAAACCCACCTTTGGTGTATTTATTTATTTTTTTCCCTTCCTTTTTTCTTAATGTTGGAGCTTTAATTAAACGACTGACGGAATAATTGAAACTTGGACATTTCCAAATAAACTGTTTCTCTTAAAAGGCTTTTAATATGTGTGACGCAATGCCCAAAAAGGTAGGAACAAATCGGCAGAGCACAAACTGAGAAAAAAGGAAAGAAACACAATTTTTGTTTTACTGCAAAATATGGAAGCTGGAGTTTGGAAATAACCTGTTGCTCTAAAGAAGTGATTCCCAACTGGGGGTACTCGTAATCCTAGTGGTCCGCAAGTGCATTGCAAGGGGTACATAAAATTATCTTATTTCCTATGTAGTAAAATAAAACAGGGCTGTTCTGCTTTGTGAGGACGAAATTAAAAAATTAAACAAGCTTTCATCAACCAAAAAGTAAGCTTTTTCTTATATTTTTGACATCACCTTCAGCTTTAACACACTTTGACTCAGCTTTGAACAGACTGGACATAGAGAACATCCTGGTATCAGCTGTTTTTCACACTGAGTTATCGGAGCTCATCAAAGCAGCTCTTCATGAAAACAAAGTAAAACTAATTAAGTTAGTCTGACTATAATTTGATTCTGTAATTTGTTCCCAATTCATCAAATTAAAATGTGATTGTAAGAGAGTTACTCAGAGGAGCTCCAGTTTTATAAATTAGGGTTCATAATATGATTTTATTTTGCATTAATTTCGATTCCTTACTAACTTTCAGGCAACATATTAATGTTTTTTTTTTTTTTTTTTTGAAATGGAAAAAATAAAATGCCTAAGAATGAAATGCTCAAAATAAAAGATTAAGTAATATAGTTTTTATTTTGTAATCAGTTATTGCATGTTCCACTTTTGGACAGTCATCAATACTTTTGACTGAGTGGGGTATTCATTGTACGAAACTTTTCACAGAGGGGTACACAAGTCAAAATAGGTTGGGAAACACTGCTCTAAACAACAGATTGAAAGGATCTAAAAATGGTAAAATCCGTGTTTACACTCAGCCTGTTTTCATTACAACCTGGCAGGCCGCATCTGCTTATTTCATAGGGAAAACCACAGCTCATTTTTACATCCGTTTGGCTCTGTGCTGGCTTTTATTATGCATGTTTTCCAATAGGCTGCATGCTTGAAGTATGCACATGGCTACCTATACATATATGCTACTAAACTAAACCCGTTTGGAAACTAAACTGTGTTTTTTCAGGATGAACAACATAACATGGTTAAGCTTTTTTCAGTAGCAGAAATGGGAAGAATATAAGAATAATCTGAAATCTACTGTAAAATAAAAGAAAACACAGCAGGAAACCTTATAGGATTGAAATCTACAGGAATACTTTGTTTTTTCTGGGGCAATTTAATTTGCTGAATTTAATTTGAATCTATTTCAATTCAGCAAATCTAGTAGTGATTAATTATTTAATATTTAATGAACCATTTCATTTCACACAGTTCCTGAGCTTATATTACTTTGAAGGGGTTATATATCTATAAAAAAAACATCTAAAAAAAATAGCAGCTACATGCAAAAAACAACAACATTTGGCCGTCCAAAGGTCATTTAAATATATTCCAGCATGTATTGATATGTTCCAGTGTGTATTTCTCACTGAAGGAAGCGTCCCAGCTCCTGCATGCTACATCTAGACCACTGAAATTTGTGGAAGGCAGCTTGCACCAGAGGAGCCATGATGCTGCCCATGGGCACCTCATCTCCGCAGCGGTTTCCCTGACCGTCATGCTCCATTCCAAGCCTATATACAAAGAGAGAGAAAGGAAAGGTAGGAAGTTGCCGGAAGTTAATGGAAAGGACGAAGACCACAAGGTACAAAATGGTAATGTGTGGGAGGAGAAGATCAAGGAGCAACAAGGAGGTACAGCAGGATTCAAATATTAGATCCTCACCACTTGAACAGAACTGTGTGGAATTAGTGTGAGACTAATTTGCTGTTTAATCACATTCTTATCTTTAACACTTACACATGCCCGGTTTCATGAGCCACAACAAAGGCTGAAGAAAACCCATCCTCGTGGTTCAGAGTACAGCTTCTCACAGGATGGCACATCCCCGTCACTGGAGCATAACCTGGAGAATCAGATGAAGAAAAGTTATATTAGATCTACTGACATACTGCTGCAAAAACCGCTAAAATTACAGACACAATGATAAAATGCTATTTCTCTTTTGGTTAATGCTCATTTAAGTGAGCATTCTATGACTTATTTTTCTTTTAAGCGTGTGGTCAAGCAGATTTGGTTCATCAAATAAAAATAATCAAATAAAAATATGCATTTTTTTGCTTCAATAATGTACAGAACAGCTGTACCTATGGTTGTGTACATATGGTTACATAAAAGGTAGAATAGAAGCGTAACTTTAAACAATAATGTTTATTTGATAAATCCTAACTCCAACATCTCGACTTCCCTCTTTGCAAATGCCAATCTTCAGTTTCCTGTGTGTCCCCTGCACTCCCTTTAAATGTGGAGCTGGGGCTGACTCTTCTCTGTATATTGATTTTCTGCTGCTGAAGGCTGTGCCCAAGGGCAGCTGAAGGGCTTCTGGCTAGCTAGGCCACAGGCTTTAGAGGCCTCTCCCCTGGGCCCGACTGTTAGCTTGTGCTCTTTTGCACAGAAAACCATCAACCACAGAATCCACAGTGCACCTTGCAAACTATAAGAGACAAAGAAAGGAAGGAGACTTCTCTGGGTCTCTATGATCTTTTTAGAGCTGTGAGCATTCATCAACAATATGTATGTGCAAGAATATTGAACATCTTCGTCATGTCCTTTAATACCCTGCATGCCCGTTGGGCCGAACTCTTGGCGTGTGAGGAAAATGGCGTGATCGTGATACTCCGCATCCCCTGTGTCTTGTTTCTGCTGCAGAAAGGCCCAGCGACACACATTCTCCAGACTCTGAGACGGGTTCCCAAGTTCAATCAGGCTCATAGACTGAAACCAACACAAAACAACAGAGAATGTTTTAAATGCGAGGACATCCCAAATTCAGTTTATTTACAACGCACCAATCAACCCTGTAGGGGGCAGTGTCACCGTGTTGTGTTTTAATGCTCTGGCAAAGTGCTGAGCTATCTGCTACACATCATCACACACAGAAACACATGTACAGCCTAAAAGAGGTTTACAAAAACAATCTGTGAATGAGTTTAACAAAATATCTCTTTATAATTAAATAAATAATAACCTAAACACATGGACACATTTACAGCTGTATTTCCTGTAGTTTGTCTATACAAAAAACATCCTAACTTGGATATTGTCTTAATTTATAAGCTCTTATTCTGTTATTAAAATCTTTCTGTCAGTCTCTTGCCTTGCCTCCGTTTCTCTGTTTGATCACATGCCTAAAGTGCAGCTGCTTCGCAAAAGGTATGCAGTTTGAGCGAGACATATGGGTTGCCTCTGCACACTTGATGGAGTGTTAAGTATGCACTTGGCTCAATCCTCATTTAGACAGTACAGACTGTACACGTTCACATTTCCAAGTTGCTTATATGTATTTAAGTGCATGCTTTCATGATCCCACAAATGTGTTTTTGCAATGGTGCATCGGGTGTAAATGTGGCACAGTGACTGTGTGTGTGAGTAAAATGTGGGTGTGTGAGTATGGCTGCGTTCAGGGTCACACAGTCAATCTGCAGGCTGTCTGGGTGCAGCTCTGTTGCTGTGGTAATTGGGAATGATGGACAGCCAAAGCTTTGGCTGAAGCTACACAAGAGGCTGGCCCTGAATGGTCAATGTAATGAATGTGAGCATACGTGCAGTTCCTGTCTTCTATTGAGCAGCAGAAGAACATCAGAGAACACCTAGCTACTGATAAAATAGCATTTTTTATTCACTGTGGTAATCCCTTCATTCCCGTTATTCAATTGCACTGAGGAGGACAGGGATGCTGGCCCTATTGCCCTTACCCTTTATGAATGAGGGACCGTTATCATTGATTATTCACCTTTGTCTAGACTACAGATGATTCTGAGCAGCAATCTTTGAGGAAGAACAGTGATTGCGTAACAGGCAGAGTTTCTAGGTGCTTTGGTGCTGAACTGTGAAGGCGTGCGACTTGGAAAAACTCCCCTGAGATACAGCATGCTTTTAGTTCCTCTTTTGCTCAGCTCACTGGAATAACAAGCTCTGGCCATTGGTGTGTTCTAATGTCTGGATGCATGTATTTTATATTTGTTTATGAATTTGTTTTAGGGAAGTGTATAAAAATACAACCAGTTGTGAGTCCAAATATAGTTGTGCTAATGAATAATACTTCAGAAACAAATACTTAGTTGCTTTTTCAGCAGGAGTTTGAGTCCTGTCAGGTCTCACCTTGCCATAGCCCAGCATGATTATCCGCACCAGCACAACATTGATTTTTGCTCCCAAGGAATCGTCATGGTAGATCTCGTTCACCTAAAGCCACAAAGACAACCACAAAAGCAAAATCAAATTTAAATAAGATGCACAAATACCTTTAAACGCCGTAAAATTATTTTTGTGGTTAAAATAAAAAAAAAAAAAATTACAAAAAAACGACTTTAACCAGAATTAGATTATTTTAGTCAGATTGAGCTTTGCAGTAACAAACAGTCCATCAAAGTTAAGTTCAATCTGAAAAACTCACACAGAAAGAAAAGATAATTAGAAGAATTTTATTGATATGATAGTATAGTCTTTGGTGCTCAGACCTCGGCAGGAACATTAATGCTGAATTATGCTTTAACATGCATAAGTAGATGATGTTCCTCCCTGGCCTGAAACTGGTGGTGGTTTAGTCCAAGTTGGTTAACGAGGTGATCTGCTTGAGCTGTATTGTGGGACCAGGAGACTGTGGGAGCTGACACCAGGACTTCACTCAGAGACTCAGGATGTAGAGGTCCTGCTTGGTGATGCAGATACCATGAACTGTCCATGATGAGCAAGCATGAAGCGACAGTGGAGAGGAAAAACTCCCCTTTGGGAAGAAACCTCCGGCAGAACCGGGCTCAACATGGTGGTCTTCTGCCGGACCAATGCAATGAGACGAGGGATGCTGACGACTGGGATTAATACTCACTGATGAGGTTGAGGTAGAAGTCGTGTCATGGAAGATGACTCAGCTACGATGGCGGAGAAGGGGATGGAGGTGGGTGAATTGGTTGTCTGAATCAAAATCTGACATCATGCGCTTGCTGGATAGCAGGCTGAGACGAGGATTTGAAGGTGCTTTTAAAGTGAAAGCAGGATGCTGATTGGGCTTCGTGGTGGAGTAGTTTGAAGCTGATTGGCTCGTGTCAGAGGCGGATCAGCTTCTGATTGGATGGGGGTAAGCCAGAGTTTCTTCAATTGAACTTCCGCTAGAGCTTCATTATAAGTACATTTTCATTTCTCTTTTCTTGTTTTTGCATTTAGACATAATGCAAGGAATGCTTTTTTTTTTTTAAAATAGCCAATGTTTATTCAAAATCAGTGCATCTTTACAGATGTAGCCATTAAAATTGTCCCACTTTAATTGATGGGCCCTTGGCTGGTCCCCTACAATTCATTTTTAAACATACATTTTTGTACTAAAATATTTTTTCTGTCATGATTTGGGGACATTAAGATCTAAAGAGAAGCGAGATTTGCTGGTCAGACCCTACAATTCAGTGAAAGGGTGGAGTCAGAGTAAAAACAATGCGCACCCTGGACAAGGTCAGTGGCTGGAAGTTTGAGGGGATTTTGCTGGGAGTAGCAGGGAAGTGGGCTGCCGTTCGGCTGGCGTTTGACTGGGAAGGGCCATTTTGAATGAGTAGGACTGTAAATAATTTCATAATATTAAATCCTTTTAGGTAATATACTGCTTTAAAAAAATGGAGTTTGAAGATTGAAGGAGCTTTTTTATTGTGAATATAGTGTTGTGATGGAACACACATAAAGATGTCTTACTTTTTAATTGCACCTTTCATAATGAAATTCAAACGATTTTTTTCCAGTACAAAAACCTGAAAACTGTTGTGTATATATTAAGTTAGCATATTTTACTATCCTAAATAAAATCAAGTGCAACCAAATGACATGAAAAGTCCTGTATTCAGAAAATATCCCAACTTTGAATAATTACCAAAGCTTCATATATGTTCTCTTGAGACCTTAGATCTTAAAAATATTTGCAACGGCTGGGATCCCGGCTATGGAATTGCTGGGATCCCATTTATTAATCACAACGGATTACGTTGTACATTTCAAAGAACATACAGTATTAAATATCAAAACTATGTGAAACTTAGTAATAATGGGAAAAATCACCTAAAAAAACTAAAGAATACAGTAAAACTGAAAACTTACCAAGACACGACTTTCCACCTAAACTGACAGGCTAGGCAATAAGCGTGTTAAACAGAGAAGCAGACAAAAGGCTTGTGGTGACTCTGGAGGAGCTGCACAGATTCTAATGACAATTTGCTTGCTTTGATAGAGTGATAAAAACAAACATGGTCAAATGAAGCTTTAAGAATTCCTGTTGAAATTTACAACACATCATTTAGGGCTGTGAAAGTGAGAGCTGGGTTCTGATGGGATCTAAACTTTCTCAACTTTTTGGTAAATATACTAGAAAATTCTCCAAGTGAAACATTGTGGTGGAGGCATTATGCTGCAGGATTGAATTTCTTCAATGTGGAAAGAGAAGTTGGTCAGAGCTGACAAGGAGAAATATCAAATTCTACAAACTGCAAGCAAACATATGGTAGAAAACCTGTCAAAAGCACAAAATTATTCTGAAATTGATGGAAATGCATCTTAGTAGATCAATAACCCTAAGCACAAAACTATTGGACTAGTGAATCATTTTAAATTGATTTCCATCTAAAATAAATCTATAAATGCTGTTTTCCAACTTTTTCACAAGAAAACTCTACAAGAAAGAAGTAAGTACCCCCACTCAAACAAATCTGTTATCTAGGCCTAACAAATGTAAGAGGGGAAGGAAAGAAAAGGATTTAGGCAAGTGTAAGGAAATTTGGGTTCCCAAGAGCATGGATATACAGGAGATGAAGAAGATGCAAAGGATGGAAAGCGCCTAATGCAAGGAAACAAGGTAATGTGTAACAGGGGAGACGCAGAGAGCACTCTTCTAACACACACACTCTGACACACACAGACGCAAAGCCAAAGAGAGAGAGGGAAAATTGGCACTAAAGTCGAGGCCTGCTGTCCTCAGTGGCTGTGTTTGGTGCTTAATGAGGCAAAGGGATGTAAAAACAGACAGCCATAATGAGATGGCTGATGGACATGCTGCAGAGATACACACATACACACACACAAATGGTGCCCACAGAGAGGTGCAGAGATAAGGAGAAGCACTGCAGAGACATGGAGCAAGAGACAGGTATGAGGGGAAGCTGAGGAATGCTTCGAACAGAGACCAGCAGGCAGAGCAGCAGAGGGGGAAAAAAAGCTGAATGCAGAGGGAAAAAGAAACATGCAGAGAAGAGCTTAACAAGCACTGTTGAGTTCTTAGAAAGCAAATATATCCTTAAGTAGCAAAGAAACAATTTTTGTTGAAAGAAGCGAAAAAAAACAAAAAACTCAGAGCAGGATTTTCCCTCTTACTATTTACAAAAAAAGCTGTCAAGCATATCTGTAATGACATAACAGCAAAAACAGCTATTTGTCATCAGTGACCAAAAAAATTATTCACTTATTTATATCTGCAGGTTTCCACAAGAAAGCTAAAAGAACTTTTTTATTGCCCGGGGCTTATTCTTGTCATTGAGCTGGCTTATTAGGACCTGTCTGACTCGTTGGAGGTACAATATTTGGCCGCAGCCGCTTTCCTTGTCAACTCTTCGAGGTTGGCATTTGCTTGTGGGATTCTTAGGTACTTGTAACTGTCCTCAATGTCTGCTATTGATCCTTCTGGGAGTGAGACCCCCTCTTTGTGGACTACCTTCTCTCTCTTAGTCACCATCCGACCATGCTTCTCTAGTCCACATAACATCCCGATGTCTGTGCTGAAGATCCAGGTGTTATGGATCAGTGAGTCGATGTCTCACTCATTCTTATCGTACAGCTTGATGTCATCCATGTAGCGGAGGTGACTGATGGCGGCCTCGTTCCTGAGTCGGTATCCGTAGCCAGTCTTGTGGATTATTTGGCTGAGGGAGTTCAGGCCTATGCAGAACAGCATTGGGGACAGCTCATCTGCTTGGTATACGCCACATTTGATGGAGACTTGTGCAAGTGTCTTGCCATTGGCTTAAAGGGTAGTTTTCCACAATGAAGGCTCTTAGGGTCCTGTTGATGTTGTATAGCTTCAGGCATTCAATGATCCAAGTATGTGGCATTGAGTCAAAGGGTTTCTTGTCGTCCATCCAGGCTGTGCTCAGCTTAGTGTTTTGGGTTCTGCAGTCTCGACTGACTGCCATTCTGAGTCGTCGCTTATTCTGAGCTGTGCTCATGTATTGATCTTTGTGCCCTGACATGAGCTTCCATGTGGAGAGGCAGGTTATTGGTCGATACTTGGATGGAACTGTACCCTTTAAGGGATCCTTCAGGATCAGGATTGTGTGTCCCTTGGTTAGTCATTCAGGTTGATTCCCATCTCTCAGCAGCTGGTTCATTTGTACTGCCAAGCGTTCATGGAGTGTGGTGAGTTTCTCAAGACAATAGGCTTGTATCAAATCTGGGCCTGGTGCTGTCCAGTTCTTCATACCTGAGACTCTTTCTTGGATGTCTGCCACTGTGATGGTGACTGGATTCTGCTCAGGGAGTTTGCTGAAGTCCTCTCTCAGAGTCACCAAAAACTGTACATCACGGTGTGCTGCCTCCTTCTCCCATATGGCTTTCCAGTGCTGTTCTGCTATTGCTTTTGCCTTGCCACTGAGCGTAAACTTTTGCTGGTTGAGTTGTGAACAGCAAGTTTACCCGACTGGCTTCATTTTACATATACATATATATACACATATATATATATATATATATATATATATATATATATATAGGGCCACACATTTGTCTGTCACACAGCCAACACACGGTTCTAAGATCTGGCATAGCTATTCTAGTTTGGAAAGTAAAAAACCTGTATCACTCACATTGTCATAGTGATCAGAAGGATTACAATTTGCCCTCTGATTTAATTTTTTCATACATCTTTTTTCTTCATTTAGCTTCATATAACAATTCTACGGGAGAAAACAAAAAAACAAAGCAAATACAGACTACTAAAAGGTTGGTATGCCAAAAAGGAGAAAAAAAAATTATAAAAATAACATATTGAACTGTTCAACTTGTCAGAACATATTATGTTTAAACTGCTTTTTGGTTTTCTAGTTCCTTCCTTGTGATGTTTTGTTTAAGTTTTTTATGTGCTCAGAATTAAATCGGGTCTTCCCGAAACAGCTGATTGGCTGCTTGGTGAAACGTTTTCTAGTATTTAGATCAATCCTGAA